CATGCGTGTAATACTGGAGAAGGTGCGTCGGATCATCCGTAAAACGGCGAATGCCTTTTGGGCCGATTTCTCATGGTGTAGTGCGAAGGACAAGTTTGAGGAGACCCAGATGCCTAAATCTTTTTTGGCATCTATCCTCATGATGTTTTCTGGTCCCTTTTCACCATGCATAACAAAGGCATTCGCTGAATCCCCTCCAAACGACACATGGACGCACTTTTCAGCATTCAGAGGAAGGTGCCAGTCCAACGACCACTGCTTGGCAGCGTCTACATCCATTTGGAGGGTACTGGCATTGGAACTCCAGGATTTCAAGGCGTCCGCAAAAAGTAGACATGGACTCGCAAGAACGTCTGGGAGGTCGTTGTCGACATCGGAAGATTCTGAATGGGTGTGTCAGAAGACGGGTCTGCTAGGTCGAGAACCCGAGTATCGTTAAAATTTTGGAAACGATAGTGTCTTTCAAAATGAATGTTAGCCAAGATAAGTACAGTAATGGTTTCTTCTGATGCAGGGGATTAAGTGGTTTGTGGGGACTAGAGGGCGCTGGAGGAGTTTATGTTTGTTTTAACACTTAAAATATAGAGAAAATGAATTGTTAAAGATAGGGGTTACAAATTCAAGAGGACTGCACGCGGTCCGGCAAAGTTCATAGAATTCATGCCTTCGTTGTGGATTCCGGTATGCTGGCACCAAGTGTTCATCAGGCATAATGGCCCGTGGAGTTTCGGCAGAAAAAAGTTACCATGGCGACTGACAATGCTTTTGTGATACGGCCTGAGCATCCTGCATCCATATCACACCTCTGACGCTCAGCCGTATGACAGAGAGATGGTGGGTCTAATTTACTACAGTCGATCTTTTTGACAGGCAATGAGTGGGCCACAAAACTAGCGCGGCCCAGTAGACCTGACACTCGCTTTTTGTCTACTTCAAACGCAGTTATCAAGTCCACAGCGCAGAAAAGTTTGCCGCTCTCCTTTATGTGATGCGGCTACCCTTGACTTGATGGCCCAAAGAGTGGCTTTTACTTGAATCACATATCTCACGCGAACCGTACTCATTTGCTAGTGCAGGGATTTTGTGGCAGCCGTGAATACAAAAAGCCGTTCCCGTAGCCGCCTGTTGGCTGGGTCGCAGAATCAAACCTATCCAGTGACCCTAGGAATGAATTTGGTGATGCAATAGATGAGGCTAGACTACTTGAGTGTGCCTTTTCGCCAATGATGGACTCTTGACCGGAGGCACTCATCGACACCAACTGAGAGGCTGGTGTCTCGCTATTTTTAAGCCGCGCGTAAGGGTCAGAGTCGCTGCGACGACTTACAGTTGGCCGACATGTCACCACCGCCAACACTACTATTCTCTGTGGTATCTGTGACCAAGCCAGCACCTTCTGTGTTACTACCAGACCCCAAAGTGTGCACCGATGTCACCTAAGTAAGAGGGTTGGACAGGAAATGTCAAGAGCAGACAGCTAACATAAGAAGTGAACTGTGAGGGGTCGTTTTATTTGAATCCTTCTTCGTTCCAGAGCCTGGAACCTTAATGAGTGTTTCGGGCAAAAATTCATTAACCTGTACTGATGTCTACAGAATTCTTTCCCACATGCCTTTCACCATTGCAGACCCATCAACTTTTTCCATCTGGGTGGCACACATTTGACTGTTTCAGTTTGCTCCTCAAGAAAAAACTGCCTGAAAAGTCAGTCCAAATATTAGCGCTTTCCCATCGTTTCTCGGGTTCAAGTTCTTCATTTATATCTAAAACCCCACTGTTTTTTAACTGATTTACTGTCGCAGCGCTTCCTTTACTTCGTCCACCGCCTGAGTTCTCTTCCTTATCCGCCCATAAATCAATTCCTATTTCTGGTCATATCTTTCTCATCTACTGGCATTCGCGTAGGGACCTCTTCATCCTGACCTTATCTGAGCTGAGTCCAACAGCATTTTTCACACCTGAAACTCCAATGCGTCTATCTACAGAAGTCGTACCAACAATTCTAACCAAATTATCCAGTTAACCGAAGCGACTTTCATCGAGTCACCTTGTATGTTCACCGAACCTCAAAAGTATACAAAAGTCGGGCGCTCTATGAACGCGGCTCCAGGTTACAGGGTATTCCAGATTAATTCACTCCTTCTAAGCTCATAGGGTAGTTTTCGGCTCCCAACTGGCGTTATTTACATCCCCCCACCGTCCTACCAGACCATTTTGTCCACCTTCCCGCGTTTAACCGCCACATCTTGGTGAGCCTTTTTGACCGTGACTTCCAAGTTGCCAAGTGGCAGCTACCCGTTTCTGATCTCGATTCCTCCCTTCCTAGGGACATAACCCACGTTGGATAACATCGGTGCCACCACAGCCCATTGACGTTCCACTGTAGCTATCAGATTTCAACTCGGTATCCAGTCTTCGTAAATTACCGCACCATGTTCACGATCCGCCCATCGCCAGGCTAAACCTAACCATTGTTTTGGGCGGGATTTTGAGGACGTATCGGCGAACCCGAATTACTCCGGCTTTTAATCGTCGCGGCCGTATTTTCTGCCTTGGTACTCCTGGCCTGTCGAAGCCTTTGGATTTCTGCCCGGGGAATCGCTACTACGATCCTGGAAGTATGTCCACCATAAATAGACTGCTCCATTCTATAAGCTCCTTGATGTAAAATGAACCTAATTTGTGGGTTATGCCTGAGCACATTGTAGCATAAGCCAAATAGACGAACCAAAAATTCATTCAAAGAACCGACCATGCTTTTCAAACCTTCGGAATAATCTGGGTTATCTAAATCACAACGTGGTCCGGAAATCCTCAAAGTTGCTCTTCCTACGTCTATATTTGCACCGCACGAAAGGGATTAATGTTTTTGTTTGAATATCGTAATGCTTATTTGCCTCAAAAATACAGATGCGTGACTAAAATATCGTCAACACTTGCCAGGTGCATTCAAGCTAAAGGCCCGGGGTGGGTGATTTAGACGCGTTAAAGTAGGCTTTCAAGACGCGGAATATCTTGAAAAATTAGTCAGCCTATTTGCTCTGTTGGTTTCTTTGTCAAAGCGGCTATTACTTATTTCAAAATAACCGCTAATGCCCAGCCGCTTAGTATTCGCACAATGGAGTTGATTGCTCGGTGTACGGCATTTTCAGGCTTACCAGTTTGTGGTGTAGAATATCTATGTATAATGTATATCTTCATGTAGTATTCCAACTTATCTACATTAGTGACTGGTTTGAGTGAGCGAATATCCAAGGTCCGTAAACATCGCCGATTGTGAATACATTGCCTGTGACGCATTTGAAACCCGACTGTGCCTGATTTTTGCCTATCATATGACATTATGTGTGCCCCTCCCTCCCTCTCTTCCCCTATTGCAGGTACCACGGACGAGGCACCACGGGCCCTTGACAGGGGAGAGTATCCCGCTTGTACACCTCCCTAACCGACCTTGACCCAACCTTGTACAGCCCGGACTTCCGGTTTCGGTTCGGGTTAATACACGTGCGTTGTTGCTACACTCCGGTCTTCTACCCTGTACCACCCGACCTGTGCGCATGTGTGCTGTGTATACTGTGTGGATTCATTAATACCAGTCCGTATATCTGCACATTTCAGAACTGACGTGTGCCGTCGCTACATCCCGTCGAGCGTCGAATACCGGTGACTTCCTGACGTCCCACGCTACATGCCTAATGAAATAATAAATCGCCTTGTGCTAGACGCACACCCAAATTTCTCTGAAATCGTGGTTCGTAGGAGGAAAACTTTAACATAAATTTTCAAAATCTGATGGTAATATTTCGGGCGAATGAGATCCTCCCAAACAGCCTGTTTTGTTGAAAGTTGTTTAAATCTACTCAACCCCCACGATATTCAGGGCCGGCGATATTCATATTCTCAATGGGTGCTATCGCTGAGCAAGTGAATGCGGGGTATGATTTTGTGGAGAATTTAGCTCGTCAAAAAAAGGCCTTGTTGCAGCAGACATCCCTGCAGACGAAGCAGAGGCCGTGGAATACGTCGCACCTAGTAAGTTATGTTTACGTTGTAGCCCAGCCCATACTGATTGTCCGGCATGGTTCCACATTCGCCGGTACCATGACTGCCTGAGGGTTACTTCCTACTACCTGGGGCACAACCATCCACGCAGCAAGTTTATTTTTGACAGGCGCCCCATCAACCGGCGACTGACAAATGATGAATTAAGGGGGGGTTCGACCCTTTTGAAATACGGTGCTCAGTCATCAGAGATTCGGCAGTACGTCGCTGACCACTTTGGACAGGTACTCGCCATCAAGGATGTGCGTATCTATCGCGTCAAATGTCGACCCCCATTGTTAAGTAGGTCGTTGGTTAACTTTGAGTGGGTATTTTAGATGACATGTGGTCCATTCTAGCCAAGTTTCGAGAGTGCGGTGTCGTGCTGCTGGTGGAGTCGGAGGGTGGCAGATATGGTCAGTTGTGCTTTTCTCGAACGCAGCAGATAGCACTCTCTAGACTTTTCCCGGACGTTGTAAACGTTGATGCTACACACGGTACTAACCGTCCTGGGTAAATAAATTTCGAGCGCCTGACGTTCGCTTGACGTTCAACCACGGGGAACAGGGGGTACAAGCATATATAAACATCACATGGTGGTAGTCACTGGGGAGGGCGATCAATCTCATCTGTCCGGTATTCAGGGATGTCTTCATTTTCTACCATCGTTACCGCCGCCGCTTCTGAAAGTAGACAAAAGAGATTGTGATTAACGATGGCGCGCAGTTTGACATCCGTCGGCACATT